AAAGTGTAGGGATTCAGAAAGTGAAGAAGGTTGAAAATCACCACTTTGAAGTCCATCCAGTGTTAGTGTGGGCAAAGGTGGAAGGGGGAGTACATACAGTGAAAATCAACAGTGCCACCTTGTGTGGGTGGGACAAGAGAGTTCGGCCATGAGGAGGGCAAATGGCCCCAGGTGTGTCTCCAGCTTCTTCACCCCGGGATTGGGGCAAGCCCCTGGCCAACTAGGGAGAGGGCAAAGGGAAGGATGGGTTCTTCTTAGATCTGCAGGAGGTAGGTGTTTACTGCCTCGCTGTGAAAAGCGGAGCTGGTGGGTATGTAAGGGGCACTCAGCCTGACAGGGTGGAAGGAAGGACCAAAGCACAAGCAGGTTGCTTAGTTTTTTTTCTTTTGTAACTTCAGCAGCTAGAATTAATGTCTGAAGGAAGAGAGAGTAATGTGAGTTGTTTTAATATAGGACCAGTAAAAGTGCTACCAAAAATATGGTGTTATGCAGCCTTTTAGGGGTAAAAACCAGGTGATTAAGATTTAGACTCTTAAGCTGTGGGCAAGGGTTGCATAACACCAAAAAAAATTTTATGAGACTTAGGAGGATGTAAGCCTTCCATGAGGGACAAAGAAGTTAGACCCCTGCAGATCAAGTAGAGCAGGTCTTCTCTGTGACTGATCCCACGTTGTTTCTCAGACTAGGAAGATAATGTTTAATTGCAAAGAGAGCATTTGGGAAAGATTGTTTTACTCCAGGTGCATTGTAAGTATGCAAAAAAGATGCCAGTTGCAGAGTAGGGTTAATTTAATTTTTTTTTTTAGCACAAAATAAAGCAGTGTAGGTTGGTTGCATCCTTAGGCAATGCAGACTGGTCTGGAACTATTTGTGTCTGTGCAAAAAGGAATCTTTAAATAAGCTACAAAAGTCAAATGATTTACAAAGTGAATCTGTTGTTAAAGTAACCCTTCTCCAGCTGTATTCAGGGCTTCTTGGAGAGGGGATAGGGTCTGGAAAATGCTAAGCACATTTAGGAGCCACAGCAACAAAACCAAGAAAGATTATGTGTGACGTATTTACCATACAGGCATCATATAGGTGAGAACAATGTCTGCTTGAAAACAGTAATTTACAAAAAAAAAAGTCATATGGATTTAAGACTCAGAAAAAAATGAGGCTCAGAAATCCCATTTTCTGAAGTTCCATACAAACTGACTTTCAGGAACATAGAATAGTTTTAAAAGTTCCGCTTGATGAAAGTGTTGATGAACTGCTTTTGATCATGACTTAAATGGAAATAAAATTAAAACCAACATTGAGATAAACCACAGACCAATTAAAATGGTCCTTTCTAAAAGGATGATATATATTTGTTCATTAGCAAGTTGAAAGCAATGTGTTCTTTGTCATTGAGGACTTGAGACTTGAATTTACTAACAGACTGGAGTTACTGTTTTGAAAAGAATGGTGATACTTAGAACACATGTAATTATTTTAGCTCTGTAACTACTACTTGTACAAGAGACTTCCAAAGTAATTCCTTTACAGTTGCTTATATTTACATATATATGCAAGAACATTAATAATATTCCATTATCCTCAACTCCATGTGTGAATCAGTGCTGTCAACTCTCTGCTTGCCAAGAATAAACAGCCATTATGCCATACACCCTCCCTACAACTGAGAGACACTGTTTACATGAGGGGATGATGAGAGGAATTTGTTAGGACAGCAGACCAAGAACACCTGTAGCAGTGTTGTACTAAATGAGGGATACCCTTGTAACAGGAACATTCCTCAGAAACCTTGTCTGTCTCCTGTAAGGACATGAACAAAGGTGGAAGAGATGTTGAAAGCCCATATATCAAATGATAATTTTAAAATATTCCCAGGAGGGATCAATAGTGTGTAACAAAGGAGACTTTCTCAGCACAAATACAGGCATGGAAAGACAATGGTTTTCCTTTTTTTTCACTTACTATGCTAAGTAGTTTTTTTAAATTTTATTTTTATTTCAATCATTTCATATTCAGAAGTCTTCCTAGGAAAAAGCTTAAACATTTTTCAACACACTTTTGTAGACCAAAGAAATCCCACTTTTTAATCCCAGTTTACCCCTTGTCAGGTCTCTAACAGCTCTTTGTGGTATTGTTCTCCCAATTTTGTTATTATTCTTTGAAGACAGAAATGCTGAGTGATTATGTGTGAGACTTGTAGAAAAGGAGGCAAGACTCCCATAAAAATTCTAACACAGGCAACTACCTAAACAGGATGCTGTAAATCAGAGTTGGGGTGCAAGGGGTACAGGGCAAAGCTGGTATCACTCCTCCAGGCTTCAAGCCCCAGTGCAGCTCTGATACAAAACACCTCTTCATCTCTGGGTGTGTATGGATTGTACAGTTCTGAATATTTATTGCAAAACACATTGTGTGACACCTGAGTTTACTGTGTGTGTGCTGGGCCGTGGTGGGTTGACCTTGGCTGTGCCCACCAATCCGCTCTACCACTCTCCCCCTCAGCAGGATGGGGTTACAGAAAATAAGATGGAAAAAAACTCATGGATCAAGATAAAGGCAATTGAATAAAGCAATGGCTGCATGTGGAAGCAAAGGAAAACAGAAGATTTATTCTGTGCTTTCTGTCAGCAGGCAATGTCCAGCCACTTCCTAGGAAGCAGAGCTTCAGTACACACAGCAGTTGCTCCAGAGGACAAATGCCATAATGAATGGCCCCTATTCCCCCTCCTTTTTCTTGACTTTTCTTCCTGAGCAGATGTCATACAGTATGGAATATCTCTTTGGTTAGTTTGGGTCAGCTGTCCTGGCTATGTCTCCTCCCAAAATCTTGCCCACCCTTAACCTACTGGTGTGGCGGGAATCTTGGAGATACAGCCATAATGTATCCCAGCAAACACTGATTTGTTACACCTTTCCAGCTACCAATACAGAGGTATTGGTACACAAGGGCTGCTATGGGGAAAACTAACTCCATCTCAGGCATACCCATTGGCCCAAAAGGTACACAAACTTGAGGAGGTAGCAACTGAAATAGCCAGTAGGTTATTTGGAACAAGCAGGCAAACTGTGTATAAGAACCTCAATAATTCTTCCTGTTACTAACATCCATGGGCCTGTTGGCATAGGAATTATGTCAGCTGCTTCATGCTATAATACTGGGTTAGGGAGTATAGGATTCCAGCACTTGAGATGCTTTGTACAAAGCACAATTGAACAGAGGTCTGGTACCAGGGTTTAGTAACCTGAACATGGGAATTACTGCCCTTCATCCTGTAGTAGTGAGAGCTGTAAAATGTAATGACAGCAATAGCAAGTAAACATTAACTGTTTCAGTGATGATTGTTATCGCAAATACCAAGATACTTATTTAATTATGGTTAATGTGTGAACAGAATTACATGTCTTATCAGACTCCTGGACATGCCTTTCTACCTTCATCTAGGATGTAGCTTATTGAGGTATTTCTTAGTATCTTTGAGCTTTCTCAGAAATCTCAGATGTTACCTGCTGTGACAGTCATGAGGACAGGCAAAAGAAAGTGCCAGCAGCTCATAAGGAGTTTATTTCCAAAACCCACATTAGTCCAGGTCAGTGGGTCAGCAACCAGAAGCCACTGATCTAAATTCATTGCAGAGGATTGAATGACTTTCCTTATATAATAGATGTTTATATACTATTTGGAAATACCCTTTGGAAATGCTTTTGTACTCATGGTTAGTGAAATGATTAAACATTGTCCAAATGATTAATGTTTTTACTTCTAAAAATATTGCTTAAAACCTATTGTTTTCCCCAAGAGACAACTGGAATTGAAGAAGCCAAAGGAATTTCAGAAGAATATATTGCAGATTCTACCTCATAAGTAAATGAATGTCTTAGAGGACGAATGCTAGAGAATGCAAGATGTTTAGTACTGTGTGTGTGGCACAGACCTATGTGATTTTAAAATTTTATAGTAGAATTACAGCTATTCATATTTTATTGGTTTTTATAGAATAGATATAATTATATAAATATAATATATAAATATATAAATTGTTTTTTATAAGAATAGAACAAATTGCCATCGAGAAGCTTCCAATGCTCTAACTAACACTGAATGAGCGAGGTGACTGTCCCACTGTGCTCTTCACTGGTGTGGCCTCACCTTGAACATTGTATGCAGTTTTGGCACCACAATATAAAAAAGACATTAAGCTATTAAGCGATGAGAGAGCATCCAAAGGAGGGCAGGGAGGATGGTGAAGGGTTTGGAGGGGAATGGCCTGAAGCTGAGTCAGGAAAGGTTTAGGCTGGATATCAGGCTCATCGCCCTCTGCTCACACTGGAGACACCACACTGTGAATCCTGTGTTCAGTTTTGGGCCCATCATGACAAGACAGACATTGAGGTGCTGGAGTGTGTCCAAAAAGTGCAACAAAGCTGGTCAAGGGTCTGGAGCATAAGTCTTGTGAGGAGCAGCTGAGGGAGACAGGGGTCTTCAGCCTGGAGAAAAGGAGGCCCCGGGGGACCTTATCCCTCTCTACAACTCTCTGAAATGACATTGGAGCCAGGTGAAAGTTGGTCTCTTTTCTCAAGAAACAAGTGGTAGGATGATAGGAAATGGCCTCAAGTTGCACCGGGGGGGGGGTTAGATTGAATATTAGGAAAAATTTCTTCATGGAAAGGTTGCCAAGCACTGGAACACACTGCCCAGGGAAGTGGCGGAGTCACCATCCCTGAAGGGATTTAAAAGACGTGCAGATGTGGCACTTGGGGACATGGTTTAGCGATGTGCTTGGCCGTGCTGTGTTAATGTGTGGGCTCGATGACCCCAGTGATTGTGTCTGTGATTCTGAGACTCAGCGGAGGTCCCTGACGCGACGCGCCCGCCCCACGGCGGCCATGGCGGCCGGGGCTGGGTCTCCATGGCAACGCGCAAAGCCTCGGCGCGCGCGTCCCGGCCGCTCCCCTCCCCCGGCCGCGCGCGCCGCTCTCGCGAGACTGGCCGTGGCGGCGGCGAGGCCGAGGCGCTCGGGGCCCGTTTCAAACCGGCGGTCGCGGGGCCGCGGCCCGGCACGAGATGGCGGAGAGCGACAGGGTCGAGGCGGCCGCGCCGCGCAGGGCCGAGGAGGCGGCCGGGCAGCAGCCCCCGCAGCCGCAGCAGCAACAGCCGCCGCCGCAGCAGCAGCCGCAGCAACAGCCGCCGCAGGATGAGGAGGCGGCGGCGGCCGCGGCGCCCGGGAGCGGCGCGGGCAGCGCTAATGGCGTCAAAATGTGTGTGAGGGCAGGGCCGGGCGGGCGGCGGGGGCAGCGCGGGCGGGGGGAGGCAGCCGGACCCCCCAGTGCTCCGGGCTCCTCCCCCGCGGGGCCGGGGCACCGCCGGGGCTGGGGGCCCTTCCCGGCCCGGTGAGCGCGGGGAGGCCGCGGGCTGGGCACGGGCAGGGGAGGGGCGGCGGCGCTCGGGGAGCGGCCGCGGGGGCTGGGCCTTGTGGGGCCTCCCCGGCGGGCAGCGCTGCAGGACCCGTTTCCAGGGGTGTCCGCATCGTTTCTGGTGCCGCTCACGTTTCGGCTTGTGACCGGAGAGGTGTGTTCTGTGGAGCCCTTGAACTACTCTTTGTTTACGTGAGGGTGGTAAAGCAGCCCTGTAGTGATTTATTTTCTAGAAACAAAAACCACACATGCGTGCACGAAGTTTGCTTGTAAATTGTAACATTTTTATACATGGAGTATGCAGATCCTTGTCTAAAAAGAACATAGTATAAGGGAGCTGGAACTACCAGCTCTCTAGAACAATACGATGAATAACTTTTTTTGTGAGCGGTTGCTCTTGATGTTAGGCTTTGAGGGTTATCACTCTTTACATGAACTAGGTTTTGGCCTCAGATCGTTGGAATTTCCATATCTCGTTTAATCTCATTCAAACCTTGGAGGGAAAATGGATTTGTAGTAGACTTACTGTTGCAGTACATCAAAGCTGTTGAGGTCTCTTAAGTTTTGACATGTTCCAAGCAGCCCAACTCTGATATTTTTGTGTTTAAAAAATGCATGAGGGACCAACTTCAATATCAAGCTGGAGGAATAAAGGCATATTTCATGCCTTTACTTGACGCCCTGTGAAATTTAGTTTAGTTTACAAGTTATAAATTTCACATTACTGTAAAACAAAAGTTGTGGTTTTGCTTTTTTCCCTCCTGAGTCTGGCCCTCAGCTTCCAAACTACACAGATTAGAACTGAATTTCCACAGGAAGATTGTCACCCTTTTGCTCCTTTTAGGTGTATAAATTTTATTGTTCTTTTGGGGTTACTGCTGTTGAAGTAATGTCTTAATTTCTCTGTATACCTCAGCAATGTCTTCGTTTCCCTCCAAAACCTCACAAGCAAATGAAAAATCCCGGTCATTCCATGTAGTAGAAATCACAACTTGAAGCGTGAAAGTAATGCAGAGTTCTTGGTGACAGAGATACAAATCTTGTTCTTTCGAATACAGTTTCTAGTCTTCCCCAAAACATGTAGGAAGGATGAAGGTGTCAGTGGGCAGGTGAAATGTATTACTTAAAAAAATAAATCAGTAACCTGGTTTGATTAGCACTCATTAAATTGGAAAGGAATCCTGGTCTCAACATGCACACTTCCACAAACTGTGGAACTGTTCCACACAACAAAGCTGTGCTTTGGAATCACATGTTGTGAACTTCTTGCATTTCTATCTCGACTGATCTTACTGTGGACACCTGCGAGCGGAGAAGTAGAAGTTTGGTTTTAAAAGATCAGCTTTTAGGGCTTTCATGTTGTTGTATCTTGTGGTTATTATTTTTTAGGCTGCTAGTTTTGTTTGTGGAAACCTTGTCTTTTGTTTCCAAAACTTTATGGAAAGTTCAAAAGCTTTTTTTTTTTTTCCAAACGTGTAATTGCTCTTGCTAATCAATGAGGACATGCTTTTTTTTTTTTTTTTAAGAAATAATTGTAGGGGTTTTTTTCCAATACTGGAAATTTGCTTGTGATTACAAAGGCAAATATTAATTAAATCTATAAAACGTGTAGCTCATACAAAAGGTGAAGACTAGAAATTACTATTGTTTTTCCCTCGAAAAAATGTCAGTTCATAGATTCTGAGGCTGTCTTTTCTGTGGTCTGTAGGTGACTAATGTGACATTACTTTGAATGTATTATTTGATTGAAATTATTTTTAATATTCAAGGAGGAGGGTAAGAACTATAAAAGGATCTCTACCTCCAGCTTGTTCACTGGCCTGTGTTGATCTTGGCAGATGAGTTTTGCAGGAAGAATCGTTTCTTTAATTAATCCTCTATTTTCAGGAGACTGGCTGTGATCCCCAGACTAAGTGAAGTGTCATCTTGTTTCCCAGATTTTGGAGTTTATGCCAGACTTGTATCCTCTTTGCTCTCTACTGATTTGTACAGCCAGGTCTTGCAGAGCCTGTGGATTCCCTATTTGGAGACCTGTCTGTTCCTGTGCACTGCACTGAGCACCAAGGGGCTGTTTCATAATCCTTTAAGCAGGAAAGAGCTTAAAGGGCTAAAGAGAATCCATTGCTCTAATCCTAAAACTTAAGGAAGAACTTGGATTTTTGCTAGGAGCTTCATTGGACAGGAGTTTTGCATTTGCAAATGGAACTGGATTGGAAGGAACTGCTTTGACTGGAAAACCTGACACTCTACTCTTTCCCTCTCCTCTCCCTCTGGCTCTCTCCAGTTCCTGCATTGTTCCCTCCATTTCACTTCATTACCCAGCCACACAAGAATTATGTTGTCACAGGGGCAGGATGGTGTGGAGGAGGGATGATGCAGAGGGAAACTGGAGGATGCTTGAACCAGATAGCGTGTCATTGACTTGAAACGTTTTAAATTTTACAAATACTTGGCTCAGAGGAGTGTCCAGGCATTTCCCAGTTGCTAATCTTCTCTTAATCCACTGGTAAACACAAGGACTGTGAAGTTCATATCGTATGAGTATTTCAGAATTGGGGAAAAAGTCGTGGGAGGAATATGGATGTGTTTGAATTTCTTCCTCCCTGGAATGTGGCCAAGCTTGAGTAGATAATACATGAAAGGCTGGCTACTTGCATGTGCTTTTGAGTGCAAGATTTCCACTTATTGTTTGGTTAACTTTGCAGAGAGCTGAAAATACTCATCTCAGTTAATCCAAAATCAGTGATCTTACCATATGTTGTGGTTGTAAAACTGAAATGCTTGTTTTGGCTAATTTTCTACCAGCAACCTTCCAAAGTATCAAAATGAGATAAAAACTAAGCCTTCTGAAATGTGGGAAATAAAGTAAAGGCAGTGATGTAATATAAGGAGGGTTCACAATCAGTTACTTCTGTCAGTTCTGTAGGACATCACCTTCTAATTGTTCCACCTCGAGTGGATAATGCTAGCTTCTTAAATAAATGTTTGTGTAAAAGTACTTTTTAAGCTTCTCTTAGTTAACTAAGTAGACAGTGATGTGGGTCTCTAAGTAGCATCTTATTAGTGGGTCACATTTGTGTGGCTTTATTCAGTGGATTCTTTTAGTGCAAGGGTTCTCCTAATTTAAAGTAACAATTCGGGCACCTTGAGCCTCTGGTAGCAGGTTAAATCAGCTCGGGATAGTAACAATGTCAAGAGTGCCACAGAGTTGTGATATTTAATCCAATTCTGGTCAAAGTGTATTGTTTCATTGAACTTGAGATTTGGGCTGCTTTAAAAGAGAAGCAGCAAATTTTCTACTAAAAAATTTTAAAAGGGGAGCAGCTACTATTGGTAAACTTTTGAAAGACCAAGGCCAGAAGTCTATTTTGTTGTTTCTGGTGGATAATATCTGGTAACTTAATTAGTCTTAGGTGCATATCATGTCTTAATACAGCTGTTCCCCATGTATTTAGCAAGTTTTCAAATTCTAATAGTGCTAAGCAGTGAGACTGAAAAAGTAATTGTTGTTCTTAGTTGAATTTTAATTTCTGTCTGAAATCAATCTGGCACAAATTGTGAATAAAAATTCTTTATGTGGTAGATAAAATACAATTTGATTTACAAATTGAGTTGATTTTGATATATTATTGTTACATTGAATAAAGCATACTGAGCTGCTTTGTAACTTAGACCGTTTCAACTCTCACTTTTGGGGTGAATATTGTGTAACTTGGCTAAATGCAATGTGAAGATGGTGGGAGCACCAAAGCATGGGTGCTAAGAGCTGATTTTTCAACTGAGTCATTCTGTTTTGGTATTTGTAGTAGTCTATAGTACTGTGTTTGTGAATCTTGACAGACATGATGTGCTGGAACAGGTTGTCCAGAGAAGTTGTGGATGCCCCATTCCTGGAAGTGTTCAAGGCTGGATGGGGCTCTGAGCAGCCTGAGCAGTGAGAGATGTCCCTGCCCATGGCAGGGGGTTGGAACGAGGTGATCTTTAAAGTGCCTTCCAACCCAAACCATTCACAGATTCTTTGATTCTGTGAGATGGAATGTAACTGAAATAGCAAGATGTACTTTCTTTACTTGATATTGTAATGTTATTTTTTTTGTTCTAGATAAAACCAGGTATTTTGGAATTACGCTTGTAATGTGAATTTATTTTTCTTAACTTGAAAAGCAACATTTAACATCCTGGAAGTTATAATAGCATAGGAGATAGGCAGATACAAAGATATATATGGATATATAGAGATAGGTAGATACACACACACACACATATATATATATACACACATATATATATAGGAGCTATGATGGTCTAATGATCCAGCACAAGACTAATAGTGTTTTTGTTTGGATTTTTTGTTTGTTTTTTTTAAATGTAGGGAAAATGATGAGACAGCAAAAGAGGGGAAAGCACCTGTGAAAGAGAAGTACAAAGCGAAGGCAATCCCTTCTCTTGGAAACAAGAATAGATTCCATCCCTATTCCAAGGAGAAGAATGCAGGCTCTGGAGACAAGAAGGCTGTTAATCGTAATAGAGTTTTTATTAGCAACATCCCGTATGACATGAAATGGCAAGCTATTAAAGATCTTATGAGAGAGAAAGGTAACTTATTCCTTATAATACACTTCACACAGAAAGGGATAGGACTCAAATGCAGTGTATGTGTCCTTTGAGCCACACAGATTTGATTTGCCTTTTTTTGTTTTGGCCTTTACTTGGTACATCTATCTCCCTTCCCCCTCTTTCATCCGAGACAATTGCATTGCAGGGTAGGATGGGTAAATGAAGTGCTCACAACCTTCTGCCATTCTGGTGTGACAGTAGAGAGTATATGCATGACCTCATGACTTCCTAAAGAGATTGTGTTTCGTCTAGTTGTAGTTTCTGTAGTTTTTCTTTTTTTCTTCAAGGGCTATTGTATTTAAGCAACACATTAAGTGTGTTAACATGAATAATAAGGGATGTCTTTCAAAAGTTGTTTTGTATTTCTTTGGTGGAATCTGGCTGTGGCATTAACTTTGTCTGCATTGTCACTACTGCCATGACTGTTTGTCTGGAGATTTGTATTAAAAGCTTGTTACTATTGTTGCAGTTCTGATAGAGAAATCTTACTGCCCCCAAAATTTTGTTTTAAGTTTGGGGTAAAATAATGATAATATACGGATTTTGTAAAAAGTTAGTTCTGTGTTTTCCTTGAAAAATTGATTCTTCAAAAGTAATGCAAAGCACACTTGGCTTTTAGGCTGTGAAAAATGCCAGTACCCCTTCTGTAACTGCTGGTTTATCTGTTGTAAGGTGACGTGACTATTTGATTGGTTTATTCACTGAAACTTCCTACTTTAGAAAGTGAGTCGCTTGCTGTGAAATATTTGATGTGTAAATTTGGTTATTATTGAAGGCAAACTTATGATTGAAGATATTCAGGTAGAAAGTCACCTTAAAACAGGTGTTGTGAGTAGGATGATAAATGTAACACTTTCCAGTGAACGTTGACGTTTCATTTGTTAGGTTAAGGGACTCTATATCTGAATTTGTTCACCAACTATATCATACTGGCCAAAATATGATCTGTAGTATGAATTAGGTTAAATATAGTTGTTTGTTTTTAGCTTTTGAGAATGTGGCTGCTGCATATTTCTGAAAATTAGCTAAATTACATAGCCATTGACAGGAGGTATGTTGGTCTGGTTTTGATTGTTGGTGAATAATAGGTGATTCTCTGTAGACTTGTGCACAGGGGCACAGTAAAGAAAGATACTGGTGTTTAAATGCATTGTCTCTTGGTATTTTCCCTTTGTATGTCTTATGTAGTTGGTGAGGTTACATACGTGGAGCTGTTTAAGGATGCTGAAGGAAAATCAAGGGTAAGTGCCGTGGGCAACAATCTGCTAGAGGTTTAAAAGTTCCTCAGCAGTTTTATTTTTGTATAATACCTGTACCAGTTATTGGAAAGTAAGTTTCATTTTTACACTGATTTTCATTAAGGTAGCCTTGAGGGTTCTGTATTAGAAGTAGTCTGACACTTTCATGCAACTCACACTAGCTGGCTGTAAAGGACAAAGTACTTCTGTAAATGTTAACAAATGGCATTTACTTAATTCTTTTTAGCCAACACCTTTGTTTTGGTACAAATTGTTTCATATAAAGGACGTTCAACAAACCACTAATTTTATTTAAATTTTGTTAGCGTAGTATTCTCGGGGCCAATGAGTATAAAATGTTAGCTAAGAATATACTGTGTGAAGGGCCTGATTTGACAGCTCTGCAGGGTTGGTACTTTAAACACTGGATTAATGTATTTGCTTTCCTAAAACTAAATGGATGGAGATGGTTGGTAGCCAGCAGAGTGCCTGCAATGAGGCACTAGGAGTGAAGATTGTTAAAGCTCCTCTGTCTTCTTAAAAATAGTCAAAAGTTGGGCCAATAGCAGCTCTGAACCTGCAGTGAGAACATGAGAAATGCAGGTTTGAGTCTTAGCTGAGGTTGTATCAATTGTTGTAAATTACTTCTTTAATACTTGTTAAAACTAAAACATGCTGTCAGCTTTGCTATACTTAAAGCAATCCTCTACTCTTTGCTTTATTAGAAGGATTCTGGTGCAGTCAATCAGGTTATTTTCTTACAAGGTAATTTCTCAATTCTGCTGTAATACTGAAGAGGTATGCAGACTCCTTGTTCATTGTACTGGTATACTCGATATAGGTAGATTTGAATTCTTTAGTCAGTGGGCAGCTTTTAATGACATGATGAGTGTCTTGATTGGTTTTTGGTTATGTTTTGGGGCTATTTTCTTTCCACCCTTTCCCTCCCACCTCCTCTCCCCAATTGTCCTTACATGGATCTGTGTGGCATTTTTCCAATTCTGGTTTGACTCTAAGAGAGTAAGAGACAATGTATTCTCTTGCATTTGAAAGGTATGTATATTGAGAAAGCAGGAGAAATTCAGATTGGCTACCACTAAAGAACACGTATTATGGATTTTGAAGCTGAAAATAACTTGTATAGTTATTTAACAGTGAGCTGGGATCTTTAACTGGAATCTTCATTGCTCTGTTATATGTGCTGACTGACTTCTTGTTTGCTTGTTTTCTTTTTACATATGATGACAAATCTCATGGATGTAGGGTTGTGGGTAAGTTTCTTTTTCTAAGTGTGTAGAAACACACTGATATTCAAACATTCTATTTGTTTTGGCATTTTGGACTTTATTTTAATGCTCTAAATGTTTTGTTCTCTCTAAGTGTGGTTGAATTCAAAGATGAAGAATTTGTTAAGAAAGCATTAGACACTATGAACAAATATGATCTTAGTGGAAGACCCCTGAATATTAAAGAGGTATGATTATTGCTGCTGTTTTGAATTTGAAATAGTGAAGGTACTGTAGCTACTGAGATGACAATACAGTGTTTTGACAGTCTTAGATGTGTAATTTCCAGTTTAAGTTTTTATGAAATTTTCTTAATTGGCTGAAGTGCCTGTTGGCTTGCAGAAGCTATCCCAAGTAAACCGGCAAAAATCCTAAAGTCAAAATAATCTAATGCTGTTTTTCTTTGAAACAACTTTAACTTCATATTCTTACCTTAGTGTCATCAGGTCTTTTCCAGCCTAAATAATGCTATGTTTACATTGCTTACCTGCCTCAAAATATGGCACAGAAGGAGCTAATTGTCAGACTACTACATATGTGCAACAAGGGAGCTGGAAGTAGAGAAGTTGTGCTGCCTGGAAAGTGAAATAATACCAACATTTCTGTTGTAGTGTACTATATCACAGTATCTGATGCAGTTCTTCTTATCCTATTACAACTTTAATAGTGGTATTAATAAATAATACAAATCCACCACCTAATTAAATTAGTTCAGTTCTTGGAGGAAGGTGCCAGGCTGACAGTCCTTTAGCTTGAAATCTTTTCTACTTGTCCATAGGGTAGGTGCAGCATGTGAAGTGGCAGTGCACACTTCCTCAGCAAGTGCTTTGCCTATATGGCTCAACCCTCATCTAAAAGGACCCACCTCTAGAGGTGAGGGAATTAGGTCTCCATGCTAATTCAGTCTTTGATCCCTCTGACATGGACAAGGATATCAGCTGATAATTTTGATGGGTTTATGTAGAATTTCAACAGTACTTTTTGTTTGTTGCCAGTCCCGTTGTTGGTCATTAAGTGGCTTTATTTTTGCCCATGTTTCAGGATCCTGAAGGTGAACATGCTCGTAGGGCATTACAGCGTGGGGGAGGACAGTTTCCAGGAGGACATGGACCTGATGCAGCACCTGGAATAATGAATTTACCACCTTCTATTCTCAATAATCCAAACATTCCTCCTGAAGTTATCAGTAACTTGCAGGCAGGCAGGCTTGGGTCCACTATTTTTGTTGCTAATGTAAGTTTAAAACTGCATTTTATAACTTTATTACTTGATCTTTTTAAGACGTCTTATACCTGCGTAGTTCAGTTTTAATATAAAGAGGAAGTTGGAAATTAGTTCAAAATTACTATATTCAACTGAAAAGGTTGTATATATTCATATTTTGGACATGGAAAGATACATTAAACTTTTGAGGCTGGCATGCACTTATAATTATTGCAGTTATTTGTTGATTAAAAAACATTTTATACATCTTTTTGCTATTTACAACTGCATTTTTTTTTTATTAAATATACACTGCAGTTTATCTTGCTAGTTACTTCAGACTAACTTAATGAAGTTCCAATAAATATAACAATGTAAGTTCTTTATTTGCACAAGACACAACTGTATCTGCAGGAGGCCTTGTGGAAGTACAGCTGCTCTTCTCAAGATCAAATCCATTCCTCAACGTTAGTATGTTAATGAAAGTAAAATACATGTACATAGAATAAATTGTTGCTTTTAGACTTTGATGTAGTGTGTGTATATTACAAAATCATGGCTATTTACATTCATCAAGCATTTTGTGAAGCTGAAGAGTTAACAGCAATGCAGGAAATCTCTTCAGATGTAATGGCAGAACAGAGATGTGCACTGAAATCACTAATGTATTTCTGTGTGTCAGCTTGACTTTAAAGTTGGCTGGAAGAAGCTGAAGGAGGTGTTCAGCATTGCTGGAACTGTGAAGCGTGCCGACATCAAAGAAGATAAAGATGGCAAGAGTCGAGGGATGGGAACAGTTACCTTTGAACAAGCAATTGAAGCTGTTCAAGCAATATGTATCCTTGGGTTTGGAAAACAATTGATCAAATATGGATTAGTCTTTAATGGCTTCTGATGGCATAGTTTTGCAAATGGTGCTTATTTGCCTTGTAGCTTGTGTATAGGGAGTAGAGTGTAATAGTGTACAGATTACATTTGTAAAAGTGACTAAGTTTACTGCTAAAGTCTAAAAGTTCCTGGTGGTGTTGAACTAAATTAAAATATCTAAGACTATGACAGTTGTTAAACTGACTTCCATGTACCTAACAGCTTGTATTGCATCTGCTGGCCTTTGAATGGGCATTCTAAGGATCAAGTAAGGAAAGATAACGGTACAGAAATAAAGTAAGTTATTACATTAATTCTTCTTAAATAGTAAAATTACTTTCTGTAGACTCCTTGACTTGCATTTCTTCAGCAATGTTCAATGGACAATTCCTATTTGATAGACCCATGCATGTAAAAATGGTGAGTTGCTTACATTTCTTGCTACCTTATAATGTCTCTGCCAAAACATTGAAAGGATCGTGGCATGACATCCTTGTTTTTTTATCAGGATGACAAATCAGTTCCTCACGAAGATTTCCGTGTTGCGGACAGCAAAAGCTCACAGTTACCTCGTGAGTGCACACTCTGTTTTCTACTGCTTGCACTTAATATCTGATGATACATGTTTGGGCACAGTTTAGTGCCTTTTTTGGCATAGTGTAATAGTACTTTTGCTTACTGTGGTCTCTGTATTGTACAGAAGAAAATCTCTCTTCTGACGATACTTATTTTGTTGTTTTCAAGGTGGTCTTGGTGGCATTGGTATGGGACTTGGACCAGGTGGACAACCCATCAGTGCAACACAGTTGAGCATGGGCGGTGGAATGGGGAGCATGGGTCCAGGAGGTACATCCACATTCTTAATTTTTAAGTTGTACAGTTTAAAATTGTCACTTCTGTTTTTGGAAGAATTACAGACTTTTGATAAAGGAAGCCTTGTATAGTGTGATTTGGAGATTTTAACTATCTGTAAGCGTTTAAAAATCCATGAGGATCTTGCCTGTCTTCTAAATGTTGTTTGTCTTTTTGGTTTAAAGGTATGGGAATAGACGGTCCAGGATTTGGTGGAATGAGTAGAATGGGAGGCGGTACGTGCAGTGAAGTTTTTTGCTTTAAGTGTTTCTTTAATACTGTATAGAAAACACTCGTCCTTATTTTACAGGACTTGCTGGATTTCGTGGAATGGAAGGAATGCCCAATATGGGAGGATTTGGAGTCAACCGAATGGGAGGTAGTTGAACACCGTTCCTGTACACTTACTAGTTTGCTAATATTTATTTATTAAAAGCTCTTCATTTAGGGATGGGTAATATAGATGAGTCCAGAGGACACAGTTGCCTGAGTGGAGGCCTAGTAACTGGCATGAGAGTTAAATATTTAATGGGTGCCTCTGACTTGTGCATTAGACCCACTTCTATTTAAACAAGCAGCTGTGAAACAAGTATTGTAGGAGCATAAACTTCGATGTTAATAACAGAATATTCCTGTTTTTTTGCCTTGTTCTCTATAGAAATGTTCCGTGGTGGAATGGGAGCAAACATGGAAAGAGAATTTGGTCGTGGTGAGATGGCATTGAACCGTGGTTTTGGAGAGTCTTTTGGAAGGATGGGTATGGTAACTGTTAAATTTTCTGTGGAAAATTGCATCCAGAGGAGGGCCGTGAGGATGGTGAAGGGTCTGGAGGGAAAACTGTAGGAGGAGCAGCTGAGATCACTTGATCTGTTCAGCTGGAGAAGAGGAGACTGAGGGGAGACCTTGTCACAGTTATAGTTTCCTCGTGAGGGGAAGAGGAGGTGCAGGCACAGATCTCTTCTCTGTGGTGACCAGTGACAGGACCCGAGGGAACAGCCTGAAGCTGTGTCAGGGGAGGTTTAGGTTGGATATTAGGGAAAAGTTTTTCACCCAGAATGTGGTCAGGCACTGGAACAGGCTCCCCAGAGCCTGTTTGCAAATGCATGGTGGAACATTGTTTTTACTGCAAATCACGTAGCATTGGATAGGAATGGTGAATTTAGGTGCCCTCAGTTTTCTTCCTGCCTTCTGAGCTCATGCAGCTCAGAATGGTATTTCTTTGCCTCTTCTGAGGCAGCTTTGTTTTGTTTATAGATGATATCTTGCTGACAGTGGGGTTCCCTCAAAGGAGTTACTCTTCTATCTTCAGAGGCCTGGAAGTGCTTAACAGTAGAGCCTTCTTGCACTTTGTTACTGTGCTGTTACCTGGATGAATCACAGAATTGTTAGACTGGAACAGACCTCTAAGGTCCTCGAGTCCAACCTTTAACCCAGCACTGCTGAGTCCACCACTAAACCAGGTCTCCAAATGCCACACCTACATGTCTTTTAAATACCTCCTGGGATGCTGATTCCACCCCTTCCTTCCTCCACCTGTTCCAGTGACTGACAAACCTTTCTGTGAAGAAATTTTTCCTAATATCCAATCTAAACCTCCCCTGGTGCAACTTGAGGCCATTTCCTCTTGTTCTGTTACTTGTTTCTTGGGTGAAGAGACTGACCCCACATCTCTGCAACCTTACAGAGAGCAATAAGGTCTTCCCTGGGCCTCCTTTTCTCCAGGCTGAAGACTCCCAGCTCCCTCAGCTGCCCCTCACAAGACTTGTGCTGCAGACCCTTGACCAACTTTGTTGCCCTTTTTTGGGCACACTCCTTCTTGTCATGACAGGCCCAAAACTAAACACAAAATAATTGTGTGGAAGTGATAAGAACATAACAAGCTTGTCCTTTGAGCTAGGCTTAATGCCTTGGAATTAATGTCTTAGAATGTATACTTTCAATCTGGCTACTTGCAACATTGGATAAACATCCAGTGTTTCCTGAGTGAAAATGCAAAGTGATTCCAGTTGTAAATGTTCATGGAAGCAGCGGGCTCTGAGTCTTCTGGTGATACGTTGGTTTTGAAATGCAAGAACATGGGCACTGTGAGAAACTGCTGGGGGGAGTCTTTCATTCAGTAGACCCAGCAAGCTTCATCTTGCAACCTGTCAGCAATCTTACCATATAAAGAGTGTTCTGAGAATCAAGATTAGAGTTTCCCAACTTAACCTTAAATAAATTACAGCACTCACAAATACAATAGTTAATAGAGACCGTGTTTAATCAGGGAAGGTCCTACTGTACTCCTGTACAATATTTAGGTTAATGGTATTTTAAGAGGCAATACTGTGAAGGCATTTGGCTTTAGTAACCTTGAAACCAAGGAGGGTGTCTTTGGGCTGTGGCATCAATTAGTGAAATTGAGGATGTTTGATTTGGAGCAGAATTGCTGAATTTTTGTACTGTGAAGTTCAAATAAGATGAAGCCTTGAGTTTTGAGGTTGTTCTTCCCAATGTGGGAAATGGCTCATTTAGTTTTACCATGTTTGTGCTGCTGGCAGACTGTCAGAGGGGAGAAAAGCTAGAAAGAAATCAGAGTAGCTTAAATCCCGTAGTAGAAAGGGAGGAATGAAAGGCACAGGTTAAAGTGCTCTGTAGATATGCAGTGCCAGGTAACACTGAGATCGGTGCACTTCATCAGCGTGTGCTTTGTTGTTGTCACTAACTGGTGGTTTCAGTGTATGTCACTTCATTATTTTTCTCTGTTTAGGTGGTGCAATGATTGGTGTTTTTGCAGGAGGAATGGGAGCACCTAGCATGGGCCCAGTAAGATCTGGAATGAGTAGGTTAACTTGTTTCACTAGAACATAAATGCATAGGCAATGTAATGATGTGGTGTACATGTAATTGTATCAGAGGATTTCCTTGTAGGGTAGTGTCTCACTGTCTGTGGAAGAAGTAGAGTTCTGTTGCATGTGACTGCAGGTCTAATAGTTTTCAAAGCTCTTTTGTTGAGGTAAAAGTTCAGAAGAAAACTTGGTAATATAGTCTTTCTCTTATCTTAGTTTTGAAATGGTTTTAACTTCTAGTTTGGAGGGAAAGGCGATTAAAGTAAACTTGTGTTCCAGAAAAAAGAGAGATGGGCACATTTATTTGTGTAAAGTTCATGAAGCTGAACCTCAGTAATCAGTCATCATTGAAATAAAAAAACAGGCTTGAATTTCAGATTATTACTCAGTTTAACTTTGTGCAAAGCTCCAGTACTGAGATTGTATTGCAGCAAATGTCTGAGTTCCTCAGGCTAGAACCGATGAGAAACTAAAATTTTGCTAGTGCCAATCTTGAAAGGCATAAGGCTTAAAAAGAATGTCCCTCCTGAATGATCTTGATAGTTTTGCTGTACATTAATTTTTAATTATGAATCCAGAAATAATATTTGAATGCCATTGCTCTTAGTTCTTTTTATATAATATATATTAATATATTTCATTGCATGTGTCATAGGGAAGTCCATGCTCTTTACAGTGCTTGGCAGTAACTTCTGTTCTCTGCAAAACAATGCCTTCTGTGGAAGATTTTGTCATTAAGTGTGGGTATTGCTGCATTAACTAAAGCTCAGTGTAAATGCAGGAAGCCAAATAAACAATAGTGTATTTGGTCAAATTATCTGTATCTTAGCATGGCCACAGTTATTTACTTGATCTTTTTGGTACAGGGTGTAACATTTTTATTAATTAAACAGGACAGCCTTTGAATCTGAATACTTGTGTTCAACATTTTGCTACATTAGGTGGTATGACTAACAGCTTGATGCAGTTTGGTCTTTTATTTTATTTTGGTTTGTCCTAAAATCTTAGCCATGCTACTGGATAAATCACTGTGCATGTATGAAAGTGGTGGTTTATATTACAGCAGTTCTAATAAAGTTATTTTTCTCCTAATGCAAGAATTTTTTTTTTTATACAAAATACTTTTGCGTTTATTACCGAAAAGAGATTTTTATTTTATCCTCCATTTCTTTCTCTGTGTAGGTGGTGGAATGGGTGGTATGAACAGTATGGCTGGAGGAATGGGAATGGATCGGATGAGCTCTGGATTCGATCGAATGGGACCAGCCATGGGTGGAGGCCTGGACAGGAACATCGATATCGATCGAGGGTTTGTGCCTGGCCCCATGGGAAGTGGCATAAGAGAGAGATTGGGCTCTAAAGGCAACCAGATATTTGTGAGAAATGTAAGCAATTGAATGTGTAGAAACCACAAGCTTATTTTGTGTGCATATTTGATTCCATGCTCTTTTTCTCTTTGTAATATTTTGTTATCAATAATGTGTTTTCATTCTAGCTTCCTTTTGACTTGACCTGGCAGAAGCTAAAGGAGAAATTCAGTCAGTGTGGTATGTATATGAATCTTGCCCCTGCTCAGCTCCATCAGCTTCATGTTTTATGTGGTCTTTATTAGATAAGGACAGGAAGACAAAACTATTGCCTTACTCTGAAGGACACTTTGGTGAGCTTAATCTTTCTTACTTCACCCAGCTTTCTTGAGTTATATAAATAATTTTTAGGCATGGCTGTACAGGTCATGCATTACTTCAAGAAATGGTGCTGCATCAAATCAGAGATAGTAATTTTGCCAAAGTGGCAGATTGGGTTTTTTAGGCATATAGATGATCCTGATTAGCATCTTTGAAGCTGTAATGTTCCCCTTTATCTTAAGAAATAAGGGGCCTTTTGATATAAGATAAAGGATTGCTACAAATATTCAGTAATTTTTTTAATGTAATTCAGAAAAGTTCGTCTTTTCACAGAAGTAACCAAAAAATAAAGCTTGGGTATAAAAATACATGATGTGTTTTGAAAACACACTTTCAGAACAGAAAGCTTTAACTGAATTACAGGATGACTTTTATTTTGGAGAGACAGAAAAGACAAATAATCTAAACCACTGCTGATGTCTAAGACAGTTATACAGCTGTTTGCAGATTTGATATTAATGGAACTCACAGTTCAACTATGAAAAATTATAAGGTGTTGATGTTATTTTTGTAGCTGGAGGATATAGTGCAACAAGTTCTTTCTTTTTTTAAGTCTTAAATGCCTGGCAACTTTCAGATTGTTCAGAATTTGGGTTTTTTAATCATCTCTTTTTCAGCTAACAGATGTAGTAATTATGTTCAGTTGCTTTTAAGAATTATAAGCAACAGATTGTATTCGTGTCATAAGGAAATACAAAGACTGTCTCCCCGTGTTCAGTTTCTTTCAGTGAAAGGCCAGTCTTATATGATACTTAAAAATAAAGTCATATATTTTAGGGAAAAGTTTTTTGTTCCTAGTGGCATTCTGGGGCTCAGGAGGGATGTGCTATAACACACCATAAGCAGAAACTCATTAGCTCCAGGGAACTGAACATTCTTAGAGGTATCAAGACATCTTCATAAAAATAATGCCTCGTGAGTTGGGTGTCCAACCTCAAGAAAACTTGGCGAGAATTGAATAGTGCATGTTACTTATCCACCACTCCTAACCTGGTAACTGCATCATTTTAAAGACATTAATTTTGCTCTGCAGCTTCTTAACAAAACTGTTTGATTGTTGCTATTGCTTGATATGTTTTTGTGATGAACACAGTGGACTGGACTAATCTGCAGTTCAGTTAATGCCTGTCAATACTCACCCTTCTGTCAGTGTCTGTAAATGAAACACAGACCTTTCTCTGAGTCTTACAGGGCACTTTGTTTCAAACTTGAGGTCAAATACAGGCATAGTTATACTTCATCTTAATGCTGGTGTGAAGATTTGAAATAGTGGATCCTAATTTGGATTCTTCACTGCTGTTTTGTCCCATGTCCCCTTGCCTGAATGAGTGAATGTACCATCAGTTTGGTAGTGCCAATTTCGTATGTTCCCCTAGATTATACTTAGAAATGTTTTTTTATCACTTCTGAGTTCTCTAAGTTGTTAGTGCACTGAGGACTTGAAATAACTGCTGTTTAACTTATTTATTCAGGTCATGTAATGTTTGCAGAAATAAAAATGGAGAATGGAAAATCAAAGGGCTGTGGAACAGTCAGATTTGACTCACCAGAATCTGCTGAAAAGGCCTGTAGGATAATGAACGGCATAAAAATCAGTGGCAGAGAAATTGATGTCCGCTTGGATCGCAATGCATAATTTAAAACTGTGTGTTCAGGAACATTCCTATGTCTTGTTTAGCTTCTCTATCTTAGCAAGTCATTTTTAGTAACATTGTATGCTTACAAAAGATGTAAAAAGGAACTTTTAAATCCCACCAGCCTTTAACAGTATAGTGTTTAATATACTGTGATACTTGTTAACTGAATCTTACTATGTTTGGTTTTTAAAGACAATTTGCCTGATTTTTGTTGTTTTTTTAGAGGCACTGAGCACCTGCAGGTCCCTGTTGACCGTGGAAGGTTTGGATGCTCAGTGCCTTTGGAAAATTAGGCCAAGTGTCTCTAGTCATTCAGTTTAAATGAATGGTTATACTGTTTTTAATAAAATAAGCCATTTTCTCTGTTAATCTCAAGACTGCATAGTGGGATTTATTTAGTGTTTTCTGGTTTTTATTTTTGCCCTCCAGTGTGTATCAACATTGTAATGTAAAAAGTAGATGTCTTTTTTATTTTTCAGGATTTTGGTTTTATATGTGTGTTGTAGTCATACTGTAATTCCTGACTCTAAAAGAAAGGGCTCCAGTTAAGCTGTGATGTTTTTGTTCTTAATATTACTTTGATGACATGACTTAGTTCTGTATATAAGACTTAGAGCCCAGTGGGAGTTTGGAGTTGGTTTTTTTATTTTATTTTATTTTGACTAAATGAAGAAACTGATCTTTTCCTCCTGCTTTAATTTTTTTCATCAGTATAATCACTGATTAAAACTAGTTACCACAGACCCTTGTAGGATTGTTTCCTATGATGCCAAGTTCGTATAAAATTGCTAGTACAGTAAATACTAAGTACAGTACAAGACAAATGGTTCCCAATTTTTTATCTATTTTCCAGCCATTCAGGTGAACTGCCAGAAAAATAAAAACAACAGAACAGATAAGAGAAATGGCTGTGTATGTCAGACCACTGCTGTTCACTTCTATGGGTCCTGATGTATTTATGAAGGCAGTTTTTATAAACCAGGGTATTCCCAAACAGAGCATATCAAATACGTTGGATCCTACAATGTTAGACATAGCCATATCTCCATTTCCTGTAAAAGAAGAAAGGCAAATAAGTTTGCTTAATTGTATTGGATGAAATTGCCAAACTGTTTTGGAGGAACAGACTGTCAGCTCTCAGTTTCTCACAGAGCACTCTTTTCAGATTTTGCATCGAAGGAACTGTAGTCATGATTCTACAGAACACGGTTTTGGGTACCACAAGCATAAAAATATCTCCCTAAATCACCAGCATCTGCACAGTTGCACTTAAAATAAGCTAGACAGGCTATGGTCCAGTTAAGTTTAAAATACCAAGACCTACAGTTGTGTTCTGCAGTAAAACTGTAATACTTGATCAACAACAAATAGATCAATCTAGAATACTTCTCTGAGATACTCTGAGAAGTTTTGAAATGTCTGAGCCACAGCTTTTTCAGCTAAGCTATTTATTTATTTTTAGTAAACTTAAGCTCTAGAATCTGGAGCACAAATTTTGAAGTTACTCCTTGAATTCCTGGAAGTGTTGACTAGAATTCTTTTTTTTTCTTCATACCTCTTAAACACATCCATTGGCATGAGGTGGAATACTAAAATCTTTACCTTTTCGAGCGACCAGCACGCTTGCAACTGTATCTGGTACACTTGTTCCTGCTGCTAGTAATGTGAGACCCATTACTGACTCTGGAATTCCCAGTGTTTCACCTGCAGTTGATAAATAACGGTGGAAAATGCAAGTATGTTTTTAGTTAGATTTCATCCAAAGAAAGTGCTTTGCACTATGTTTGCTAAAGAAAGAATTAGTAATCATACAGTAATTTCAAATGGAATGTGTCAGCTAACTTGACTACATATGAAATGACTAAATCACAAAGCAGTTAAAAACAAGAGTAACAACAAAGAAATACCATCCTGTCCTTGTTCTTCGATCAAATAAAAAAGGAACTGTAGTATAGTAACCATCTTAAGTTTCTCAAAGACCTGTGTGGAATGTCTCCAGTGGTCAAGAAAATAGCAGTTATGAATTTTTTCTTGCAGATAAAGTAGATGTTTAAATATCTAACAACTACTTTTTTTTTCCTTTTTGCTTTCAACTTTAGAAAATATAGTCTCTCTTACAGTTTTGGGCATCTCCTCATTAGCGTTCGAAAGACTTATGAAGCAATAACTCTTATAATCACCCTCTCTAAAGGGGAAGGGGAAAAGCACATGAATTTTCTTGGGTAGGAGGGTCATTAAGATATTAGGAGAAAACTGTCTCAACTACATGTTTACCATTTCACTCCAATTAGAAAGTGCTTAGATTTGGAAGAATCAAAATGCAGAATTTTTATATGACTTGTAAGTACAAGCAACCCTTTGGAAGTGTGAGTTCCGTTAGGTAAATACTTGTTTAAATGAAGAAAAGTTCTAAACTGTTACTAAAAGGGCAGCTTATTTTTCCCCCACTGTCTATTTTTCTTAGCCCCACATGTCCTGTGACTCTCTTCATTTTTCAGTTAAAATACAGAGATTCATCAAAACCATTTTAGCAGTTGTACCATTCAGAAGGGTCAATATGCTGAAGTGTTTGACACCTCTGTTCAAGCTATTAAGTAATTAGTTTTTCTTAAACTTTTTTGTTCACTAAAAACTATCTTAATATTTTTTATTGTTGAAATCTGAATTCTTACTTGCAGTATTTCAACTCTAATAAGAGCAATTTTAATAAAATAAGAGGCAGTGCTCTAAGCTAGGTCAGCAATGCTTGTTTATTACTCACCATCTTAGTCTAGAGCAGCCCAGTAAATTTATGTTTGAAACTGTTTGTTGGTTCAGAGGGACTAACGTGATCCTGTTGCAGAATTTGTATTCTCTTTATCCTTCCATCGCTCCTAACAGATTTGTAGGATGAGCGACCAACAAAATCAACTTTTATAAACCATCCAGGCTGGAAAATAATGGGTCAAACCAAGGTGAAGTATGAATGAACCAGCCTTATGTACCCAACAGTAGTTTCTAGCCCTCTGAAGGTTATAAGACAGAATATAAACTCAGGAGAATCTAATTTTTCTTTTTATTAGATAGATTTATCTTCTATTTAATGTGTAGGGTTGTTTGGTTTTTTTTTTCTGGCAACTGACCATAAAGATAGAATAGTATTATTTTTCTAGCCTTTAGTTAATTTTGTGTATCAGTGGCAATGTCTTGCTATAAGTAGTCAGATTTTCTTTGCTAGCAACAGAAAGGTGTACTGAGGTAGGTTTGTTCTTGACCATCTAAGTTTAGTCCCCAGCTGTGACACCTTTGTGGCAATTCTGATAGGCTGATTATGCAACTATAGAATCTTTGAGTCAACCTTCATGAAAGAATCTGGACTTGAATATAATGTGTGTGTAACTTTTAGTGTTTTAACATGTAAGTAGAACATATTTTACCTAGAAATAGTGGGCCAAAGACCCCAGTACTGCCTGTGATGACTGTTGAAGGTGAACTAATACACTACTGAATCTCCACTGTACCTGCTTTCATATGAATTAATGCTTTGTCTTGTAGAACAGCAATAACTTTGACTTGAATCCTGTTTCAAAGGCTTCTAGCATCCAGACAGTGAACAGTGAACCCTTGCTCTTTAGATACAACTGGAAAATTATTTGACCAAGGGGTGAACATGGTGATTGTTGTATCCAGCCATTTACTAGTTATTTCTCAAAGGTTTACCAAACGTGTAGGTCTGTTTCTGCACTGAACAAGGAGTTATTCATATCTGAGCTAGCAGAATGCTTGAGTAGGATTAGTGAACTATAAGGTGGAAATGGCAAGCTTTGTAAAATTTCTTTCTGGTTTAGAGTTTTGTTTTCTGCTTGTTCTTGAAATTAAAAACTTGATTTCTTTAAAGCTGACTGGAGAAATAGTGAAATGAGGAGACCTTTAATACCTTAAGGTACTTTAATACCTTAAGGTACCTTAAAACATTTAGTAGAATGTTTTTACACACAAGTTCATATCCCTTCCCTCACTTAAACACAATCCTTTCACTGCTTCAGTTTTTGATGATGCAGATTGGTAAGAGATCTACATACACACACACATCAACAATGGTTAATAAACACATGATGCTATAGTTGAAATAATATAGTACAAAAATTTGGGACGTTTTTTGGCAGTTAATTTAATGCCAAATCTCTTACTATAGCACTCATGAAAAATACAGGTGCAGAAATAACAGATCTTTTCCAAAAACCTTAACCTCTAATTCCAGTCTTTGTGGATTTTGTGTTTGTCAGCCTTCAGCATGACAAGTTTATTGCTGTGTATCTAATTGTTTCCCTTAATGAGCAGTTTAATGAAACTCTTTTTAAATATAGGCTGGTTTTTTGTAGCTACAGAAACAAATCCTCCTTCCTGTGATGGTAAGTAGTGTGAAGCAGCTAAACTCAGAAGTGTTCCATCATTAGATGGAAGAGGGTGGCCAACTAAGCAGTCAGACATAAGTTTCTGTTGGGTTTTCCTTGTTGTGTTTTTTTACAGTGAAGTCTGAGTTGCTAAACTGACGGTTGTGGAAAGGGAAACTTCACAGGGAGAAAACTGTTTTTTCAGTGATTCTTGGTTGGTTGATGCTGTATAGCAGGAGCACTTTGGGTACCTACCTGCTATTGTTATCATCCATACGAGAACATAAGTTATTGCAGAAATCCATGCTGCTGAAATTAAAAATGTCACCATGAACCAGTTCCTCCAAAACTGTCTTCTGCAATCTGGTATAGTCAAATAGAGTAGTGTGATAATGGGAAGCGATAACACCCACAAAATTCTCTTCATATCTGCTTCAGGCATGGTGAAGACATTTGGATGATCTGGTGAAGAAAAAGTAACTATTTTAAATTGTAGCATTAATTAAGTTTGAATCCATAGCATACAGTATATTACTGTCCTTTACTTGGGAGAATACTGAAAAAAGGTAAAAAATACCTCCTCAGGTTCCAGCTGTAGTATTGCCCAGTACCTGCATCACTCTGGACAAAATTTTGAAATCAAGTTACTCATGGGGAGATTCTGCTTGTACACAAGAAAAGCATTTTTCACAATGAGAATAATCAGCTACTAAAATCACTTCCTCAGGAAGTGATGGATTCCTAGTGCTAAACACTTCTGAGATTCAGCTGAACAGGTGCTGGGCCATATTCTCTAGACCGTACTTTTGCCAGGAAAGGTTGGACCAGGTGATCCCTGGGGTCCCCTTCCAACCTGGTACTCTATGATTAAAATGTTCTTTATTACCACATCACCAAGGTGGATGAAAAATGAACTTCTCTATAAAGGTTTACCCATAACATTTACCAAAAAAACTACTGTTTTTTTGCCTAAGAAGAAACATGGCCTGTGGCCACATCACAGCTATTCCTTCTGATATGATGCATCTCTTGGGCTATGAATCTGTCATTGTCATAAGAAAATAGCATATATTAGTACAGTACCAGTGTGGCTGTCAGGTCGTAGTGCATTTTACAAGCAGCGTTGCTGGGAAGTTTCAAATATACACAGCAAAGACGGTTAAAAGTTCTAATATGACAAAAATGAGCAACTATGCTTACATTCCTCTAGCAATTAACTTCATATAAATACCACCAGTCTGATTTTGCTTAATTTTATATTCCAGGTTAGAATATTATTTACTTAAATACTATGCTGGAGTTCTTCTGTGAGCAAAATCTTAAAACTATTTCAGAATCTGCTCTTGATTAGAACTGATGCAGACAGGCATGCAGAATGCTAGAGACAGCTGTAATAGTACTTGTACCTCCAGAGATTTCATCAAGCCCATGTAAGCTTGTTGAAAGGTGAGAGTAGTCCAGCTCATCCTGAAAAATTCCACTGTCTGTCCTTGACTGCTGACGGATTAGAGGTCCACTCTCTTCCCTCCATCCAACCAGTGGCTGCTGCTCTGCATTCTCTTCCATAGCTTTTGTAAAACATGTACAGCAGGGACTGAACTTTTTCATGAGGTATTGGTTGATTTTAATGTCAAAACACAGTATCAGAATATAACACCCATATATCAATAATAAGGATGCACTTTCATACCTAGAATGAAAAACAGGTTTTATGTAACATGTAGTATAAAAGAACCCAGTGGCTGATATAGGTAGAGAGAGAAAATTTGCATGAGTAGCAAAAGGAAAACATACAAAAGCATCTATTTGCAGTTGTATGGCTGATGTCATGGAAGTTTGTGAGTGTCCCCCTGTCTTTCAGCAGTTTGATTAATTCCCCTCCCCTGCAGAATCTTGTTTGTGTATTGTATAGCTGCATGTTTCCCAGGGAATCTTACTGACTGAACATCTTCCTGATGTTTGCAAAACTGAGTCTTCATGTGATGGTTAAATTAGAAACTTCAAGAGACTTAGTGCTAGACCTGACTGTCTTTTTGAGGTAACAAGAGTTTTGGTGTTGATGGAAGAGTTACAACATCAGAAACTCATGGTCTTCTGGCAGACAAATGTTTCTGTGAACAATTCTGCTGTGAAAGGAAAGGCTCAAAAGGAGTAAATGATGACCACTAATTGCTATGCTAGAACAGTTGTGACAGAAATTGTGAAGTCTGTACAGACAAACCTATGCAGATCAAACTTTATAAATATGCAGAGTTTGAATGTTTGGGTAATAATCTTTACAAGTATTGTGACTTTCTGTTTTTTAAAGCCAACAGGATGTTTATTTCTGTTAGTGAACGGCAGTTCAGGCTACTTGAAGTTTGGGGGTTTTTGTTTGTTTTTCAAAACACTGTCTCGCTAATCTCCAGTCAACATGAATTCAACACAGCTTGTGCTCTTACCAGTAAATTCTGTTGTCAGAGATCATCGCAAGGACTGCTGCTGCACTGATTGTATAGACCAGACAGTCTCTAAACAGCGGCCAACAGGATAGCCTGGAAACCTGCAGATCAGAGTCATTTACTTTTCTTAAACCTCTCTGTAATACTTTCACTAAGTGCTGTAAATGCTGCATCAATATGTTGTTTCTATATTATGTAAAAATTTAAGATTCTTAGGAATGACTTAAGTATGATATTTAACAAGTTAGTGTTTTTAAAAAAATTTCATAGCAAGTTATCTTAAAACTGATTACATGCTGGTTTTGCTACTAAATAATAAACTTGGCAGTTGTCATAGTAAGTCTCCCTTGGGTTTTCTTGGAAAATGAGAATAGATAACTGTTAGGCTCTTAGGAGCAGAACTATCAAAGTGGATACATACCACGGTGGAAAACAGTCCACAAGCTGCAGAAATACCAAGGAGATTATAGATTGCTGATCCAAGGATGGTGCTGACGCCAATATCTCCTTTTGTCACAAAAGCTCCTATAAGGAAAATGACTTTCTGGTATGTCTCAGTTCAACACACAAGGAGAAGAATTCTAGGTTCTAAGGAGTCAAAACATACCTAGAAAAGCAGTGACAAGCTCTGGAGCAGAGCTTCCAGCAGCCATAAAGGTTGCTCCAGCAACATCCTGAGAGAGGCCAAGGCCTGGGTATAGAGCAAATTGATACTTCAGTAGTCTGTACCCTTTACTTGCATTAGTATATAATGTTAGATGCTACTACAGTTTAATAGAATGAACTTTAATTATTTTTGTACAGTCAATGCATTTATTTGAAATTCATAAAAAAATATCTTGAAAACTAGCCTCATTTATTGGGCTAGTTTATTTCTAACTTTGTTACAGAAATTAGTTTAAATACCAGAAAAGAGGAACTGATAATGAATTTCTGAGATCATGTGCATATCTCTTGTAAAATAGGCATTTGTAAGCAGGCTTCAACTGTGTTTCATATGGGTAATAATTGTGGGGAAATTCCGTGAACTGGTGTGATTTTGTTACATGATCCATATCAAGTCTATCTGTCTTCCAGGGAAATCTATACTACTGTGTCTTCACATACCAGAAGCACTAGTTACATGCAAATTTGTGCTGCAGTCTTAAAAACAAATTTTCACTTCGTATGGACAGTATAAAAGCCTGTGTCTTGCTTGAAAGAAATGAGATTTTTGTCCTGGTAAGTTGACTGTTCCTGAAATGTAACTCACTCTGGGGATCAAGTCTTCTGCACAAAGAAGAGGGATGTTTGGCCAACCATGGAGGAAGTCTGACAAATGCTTAATTACCATCAATTAAAAAAAATCAGCTCTACAGCAGTGTTTAAACTTACATTTTCTGTAAGTGTGCTGGTTTGGAGAATGTTTTCCGGTGTTCAGGGATGAGTTTCCCTAAGGAATTTTTTTAATTCTTGGCAGTGAAAAGCTGAACTCCCAGCCAAGACCATCTCTTTAATTCAGTGGTCTGCTTAAGCCAGGGGAATTGGTACAGGTTGATTAGATGTCAAAGAACCATTGTAACCCCAGTATTCCTTTGCTTCCTGTGTCATACTTTTAATATGTAAACAGTAGCTCATCCTGATACTTGTTCACTACTTTCATAGAAAGAAACTCTAGATAGGTGCTAAATTCCTGTGTTCTAAATACAGGGAGAGTTTTGGTTTCTTGGTTTGGTTCCACACACCAGCCTTGCCCTCTTTTTTTTTTTCTTTTACTAGTAACCTGGACATGCCACTGTGCACCCCAGAGTTACATTGTCAGTTAATACTGAGAAAGTGTTAAGATTTTCCTCCAGTCAGAAAGAAAGCAAATGCTAAATGAATACCTGTGCAGTTTAATCGGAGAATGTTTTTTCAAGCTAATATTGATCCTGTGTATCGAATTAAATACTGTATTGATATGTCTGCGCAAAGACTGAAGCTTGTTTGGTTTTGTTTCAGAGCGCTCAAACTTTGAAGTTTTTTAAAAGAGAATGTTTTTTAGAGAATGTTTAAAGAGAACTGAGCACCAAGCTGCTCAGTTTTACAGGGAAAAGATCAGGATGTCACTTACATTCACTGATGATCTCAAGGGAGGGTAGGAAGTAATCATCGCACACAATGGACACGGCCAAAAACATGTACAGGATAATTATGAAGTAGATAACGATTCCTCCATCCTTCCTCTCCTGCGGCGTGAAAAATCCTTCAGGAAACTCGGATGAAGACGAGAGGACACAGCGCGTCCCGTTTTCTGAAAATTTGAGCACAAAAGTGTTACACATCCCGACACCTTTCAATTCCGCGGGCTGCGGGGGCGTCTCTGCGGGTTCGAGCTCCGGTGGGTTCCGCTGTTTTAGAAGGGCAGCGATGTCCCCCCGAGAGCCCCGCGGTGCCCTCAGGCCCCGTACCCGCGCTCCCGCCGGGCCGCTGTGCCCGCGCTCCCCAGGCCGCGAGCGCCGACAGCAGCAGCAGCGCCGCGCGCCGCCGCGCGCCCGCCCGCATCGCCCGGCCCCGCGCGAGCCGCTCTGAGCCAGGGCGGCGGCGGCCGCGCTGGGCGCGAGCGTCACGCGGGGCCGCGCCCCCCGCCCCCGCCCTGCCCTCACGGTCCCGCCCCCGCCCCAGGGGTCCCGCCGCCCCTCTCAGCGGCCGTGCCTCTCTGAGGTCCCACCGCCCATCTCAGGGTCCCGCCGCCCCTCTCAGCGGCCGTGCCTCTCTGAGGTCCCACCGCCCATCTCAGGGTCCCGCCGCCCCTCTCAGCGGCCGTGCGTCTCTGAGGTCCCACCGCCCATCTCAGGGTCCCGCCGCCCCTCTCAGCGGCCGTGCCTCTCTGAGGTCCCACCGCCCATCTCAGGGTCCCGCCGCCCCTCTCAGCGGCCGTGCCTCTCTGAGGTCCCACCGCCCATCTCAGGGTCCCGCCGCCCCTCGCAGGGGTCGCGCCCCTGTCAGGTCTCTTGGCCCCCTCTCTCAAGGGTCCCGCCACCCCCCCCCCAGGGGTCCTGCCACCCCTCTCAGGGTCCCACCACTCCCTGCCGGCCGCAGGAGGGGTCCGGGGCTCTGCGGCAGCGCCTCCCGAGCCTGGGCTGCGCCTGACGGGCCCGCAGGGAGCCGCGCTCCGGCTCTCGGCCTGTCCTGCATTGCGTTTGGGGGACAACGGAGGTTTTGGCCGTGGCGAGTGAGGTCTTGGTGCAAGGTGCTGACCGTGACACCCAGGTGCCGTGGGCTGTCTGGGGAGGTCAAAGGTACTCCGTACCTTTTTTCTGCTGTGACAATTTTGCTTATTCCCATTGATTACCAGGATCCCGGTGCCGGACTGTGGGAGCACAGGGCTGCCCCTGAGGTGGGGCGGATGGCTGTGCAATTTAGGTGAACGTTTGCAAGAGCAGAGCGGAGACCTACACACAATCCCTCCCTTCAGACCCAATTCACTGAACTCCTTTGTCTGGCAACCTTTCCACAATGAAGTCATGTGTATAACTGAGGATTAAAGAGTAAAATACGGTCTTTTAAGCTTTGTAAAGTCGTCCCCCCTGCCCTTCCCCAGTTACTGGTTTCTCAGGAAGTGAGTTGTGTTTCCATAGAATCACTTATACACGTGTGTGTAAACATTTCCAACCTTATGATGCCAAATGGCTTTTTGGGGTGCCTGTTTTATTTCTGATTCTTTGTGAGGTGCTGGGCTGATGCCCTCATTTATGAGCAAGAAGTGCAAACTGGAGCATATTGTTTTGCTCCATTGCATCTAATCCCTCTAAACTCTCCTCATTCCCTGTGTCTGTGGTGTTTGGCTAACATGTGATCAACCCTTCTCTAGGATGCAAGAGATGAGATAAGATGAAAAAGTGGAAATTTTCCTTTTGGTTTGAATCAAACATAATTGTACAGCCACTATTACAATATGAACACAGAGAAAAATTTTCTGGAGCAGCAAATTCTGCAGCAATTGCTGTTGCCCATTTCTGACCCCTTTGTGGCCCAGAATGCTTTTTACTAGAGCAAGAATGATTTTAATAGTCAAGATTTTTAGGGGGGACAACTAACTTCCAGAAATGAGTTCCGTGTTTATTTTCAGGAGAAAATAAGTCATTCTGATTTTGAAAGATTTAAGGATTTTCTTCCAAATCCCACTTTCCACCAAAGAAAACAGTACAAAATTTCCTGTCTAAATTACTGGTGGCTCTTTCCTTACATAGGTCAACAGAAAGGGTTTTGTTACCAAGGTGAGAGGCTTCCTTGCCACTGCCTCTCTTCCTTGAAACTTATCATTGGCTTACTCTTAAAACTTCAGCACAGTTTTTCAGCTGCTTCATTTCAATTTAGGTATTTTTTGATGGCTCACTCTTTTTTAATAGCTTTAAAGTACTTATGAGCCTGCTGTTCTGATGGGAACAAGCTCTGGTACAGCAACATGCTCGCTGCATGGTTAGGAAAGCTCAGTCATGTGATTTCAGGATTTGAAGCTTTTGCTCTGCTCTGGTTTTACTGTGTGTTCAAGCTCTAATTCCTTTCTATAGGCACCCCCTCTCCATGCATAGCTGAAGCAAAGCCAGAGCTTTGATTCTGCTGAAGGCTGAAGTCTGCTTAGTTTGCTGAGAAGTCGTGAGTGAGGGTGCTGCGCTCTCACCCTCCTTGCCAAGAACACCCCTGGAGAGAGCAACAAATAGGAAAAAAGCCCTTGGTCTCCCAGCATGAGGAACCACGTGCTGCCTGTCTGCGTGCTTGACCCAGCACAAAAACACTGGCAGCCAGAGTATGCTCTGGCCTCAGCACTGCTGGCTGCCCGGGCTGGACCACTGCAGTCTGAGAGAATATTCTGTGAAGCTGAGATGTGTCAACTAGTAGTGCAGATTTAATGCATGCTGCTGCATTTTTTGGCTGCTGTTAAGGTAAAGTTCCACTCTCTGGTAGTAAAATAAATGGATATGTAAATTTTCCAGAGCATCTGAAGGAGAGAGGAGGTGGCTGTTTGGTAGGCAGGTTGCTAACACTGATGCTCTGCCACCCACGGGGATGGCTGCCCGAGCACAACCCTCTAGAAGGATGAGGGAGCATCAAACTACAGCAGCTGTAGCTCCTTACCCAGTGACCACATTCTGGTGTAAACTGGCTACAATACATCTCAATGCTTCTCAGTTTAGCTGAGGACAGAGAGTTGGTTTGCTGCCCCACAAAGCAAAAGGAGGTTGGGCTGGCTAGAGGTGTGACCCAGCTGTGTGCTATTTAGGGGACAGGTGGGAGAGAAAATGTTCATTGGGATCAGCTGTTGTGTCTCCACAAAACAAGTACTCTTTTTTTTTTTTTTTTTTTTTTTCTTGTGAGTGGGGTAGGAGTTTAGTACTTCTGTAGAAGTCCAAGATGGAGTTTCTCTATAAGCAGTGAAATTGTTTAGCATTGCTTGAGGGTTTTTTCTCCTACTTTCTTCACGATTTCAGCAGACAGAGCATGGGTAATGAGGAAGAAAAGCAGGTGAGTTTTTCAGAATTTAGGGGGAGCGTGAGTCCTTGTTGGAAGGATCCAGTCCCTGGAAAAGATATTGGGATGGTATGATCAATTAATGACTAGCTTAAAGTAACAAAAAAAATATTTTTGTAGGGGCTGGGGTCCAGTCTTTCTAGGGGAAGAAAAGGTGGTATAGATCCTAGTAAGAAATCTGTAGCTAACTTAGGTACAGGTAATCATACCTGTACAGGAATGCTAAGTTTCTCTGGCTTCCTTAATTATAAATGCACTTGGAATTTTCCTTATAACTCAAGCTGCATCCCACTGTTTCAATCACACATCAGTGTCATCCTTTCCTTGTGGTTTTGGTTTTTGGGATTTGTTTTTTTGTGGGTTTGGGGTTTTGGGGGGTTTTGTTGGTAGTAGTTGGTAAAAAAATAGCCTGGTGTGGGTTTGGATGAGGGTGCTCAGCTGGCCCCAGGGCTGGTAGGAGTGCAGCCTACAGCTGTACCTCAGTGCTGTGGCTCCTGTCTCAGGATGCAGACCCTGTGCACAGCTGTGCTCTTCTTCTGTGATGGTCTGTGCACATACACAGCACTCATGCTCCCAGTCACAAGGCCTGATGTGCTGGGAAACAAAATGCATGAAGATGTTTTCATCCTCAAAAAATACCCCAAACCTCAACACTGTTGTGATAGTCTGGTGTTATCCCTGTTTGGCAGAAGAGAAGTTGAGGATGAAAAGGGCACTGAGTACCTGGCCAACCGCTGTGACAGGAGGCTGTGCTGGTGCTGCTCAGAAGGTGAGTTTCCACACTCTTTTTCTTCTGTTCATGCAGGTCCTGTGGCATCTTTGGAGTGTTGTGGTAACTATCTGTGTAAAATGGTGGTCTTTAAAAGAGCTGATAGAATAAATTCTCTTACCCTGAGGTGCTCAAATATCACCCTAAGGTGATGAGACAGATACTTTACTGTTGCAAAGTTAAAATGAGTCTCTTCAGTGTAACTCCATTATTCTTAATTTAAAAGATAAATATACCGTCATTGTCAGACCAGATATTCCCCTTTGTCAGCATTTCATGGCTCACTTCCTGGATGTAGATAGATTGATGATAGCTGCTTAATATTCTTTCCTTCATAACCAGCAATTTGAGAGTTGCCAACTCTCATGATGGCTGCCGTTTTTCTTAAAGCATCAGCTTGATGTACATTAGCCACACAAGAATCCTGGCTTGCTTTCTCTTTCTTTCAAATAGATAGTTGTAGAAAGCTTGAAAATGAGGATCTGAGCATCTAATGCTGGAGGCAAATAAGCACATGACAGTATTATTTTCAAGCTAATCTCATGACTTGAGGAAGGGGTGATAGGTTCATTCATGGCTTTAGAACAATGTCAAAGGGAAGGATCTGATTTCTGACTCTTAGCTCCATTAGAGCCAAATGCCTTTTCTGAGAATATCTGTGAAAATCACTGGAAGACACAGCTCCACTGAAATCCCTAGTGACAACCTGGAAAGCTGCTGAGCTGTGAAGGAATGGTATGTGATAGCCAGTGCAGACTGGTGTGAGTCAAATGTATTGGCCTTTGTGTCCTGACCTTGCACGTGCCATGAATGGGTTTTATTGACTCTAAGGTGTGAAGTTGTGAACAGTGTATGTTTTTAGGTGGCCCCTCTCACTTCATCTGCTGTCTCTTTGGTGAAGCTCTACAGTAGTTCTCATGCTCTTATCTTGCTCACTGGGTAGTTTGATCATCTGTTCAGGATATTGAAAGAGTCTCTCAGCCTGAAAATGAAACATGTCCCAGATTAAATATTTTTAAGAACTTCTCCTGATTTATTTGAGTGCCCATCCATGTTAAATGCTTTCCTTTGAAGTCCTCATTAAGACAATTGGAATGAATTGTAATGCCAGTGCTTGTGGTATCATGGAGCTGAATATCTGCTGGTGATTAACTATCTAGACTGATCACAACAGAAAATCTTGCTATATATAAATACCTACATACACTAGGAGAGTAGGGCTGTTGCTAGTTAGTAATAAAGCTATAGAAAAGCTTCTCTGTATAGCTCTTGTTTGGTATCTCAATATACCCAGTGCCTTTAGACCATCTAAGCACAAAAGATTGCACATAGTCTAAAAAGGATGCTCTGCAAACAGCCAGCATGCTTCAAACACCTAAATCAGGTGTTTGCATGTAGGATGGCCAAAGCATGGAGCAAAATGTTAAGGTTTGTGAGGACAGATGATAATTATATTGCACCATGATCACTTGAGGTTGCTCTGTTCCATCTCTCCAGCAATTTATGTACAGACCAAATACAAATCCACTTCTATTTCTACACTTGTGTGTCAAGGGGGCAGATAAATACACCACAAAACGTAAGTGAGAGTAGATACTGGCAATGAGTGAGTCACATATTTCTTTCATAATGCCTTGGGTGGGGTGTTTTTATGGTTGGTGTTTTGTTTTGTTTTCCTCCCCCCTCTCAAATATTCAAGGTCTTGTTTCTGTGGACAAAGGAGAAACAAAGAGCAGAAAAATGGTTCCTTGCCTGCAGTTTCTAAGCTTGTCTTTTCTGCAAGTTTAGTGCACCAAGGAGTTCTGGTGTCTGTCAGTGACTTTTTTTCTTCCGTTTGTTTTCTTTCCTCTTACCATGAACACAAACACTTTAGCCAACAGTTGTACTTGTACTTACACTGGAGTATGTGCTTGTTTTTCCCACTCTTTGAAGCCTGTGTTTGCTATGACTTTTATTTTACTCCGGCTCTCACTCTGGCTGTCTTGAGGCTTGGCTTTATCTGCTGCTGCCGTCCTTTCAGCATTTTTTTTTTGAGATCAAGGTGCATGTTGAAGGCTGTGTGTCACAGCCTCTGCAGTCTCAGTGTGTCTAATGGGTTTGTTAAAGTTTTGCTGTTGTTGTTTCATTAGCAACAGAATAAAAAATCTTGCTGCTCTGGCAACTTTCAGCTGACCTTGAATTTGCAAGTACTTAGGAATTTATATTCTACATAAATAAAATGAAAATTATTATTCTTATAATATTGTTCTTATGGT